TATGATCTGTGCCTTTCCACATGCGGGCCTGAAACACCTGGAATAACCCAGATCCCACCTTCCCTTCACAACCCTGTCCTGCATCTCTTCCTCCAAGAAGTGTTTGGACTCTCCCAGGCTGAGTTTGTTGATTCCTTATGCTGCCACATTGCTCCGTTTATGAGGTCTGTCAGCTTAGGCCTCCCTTTCCTATTTGAATTACAGATATTTTATTCATGTTGTATTCTCTTTTCAGGCACTGGTCTAAATTGTATAGATACTACAGGGAACAAAGTACAAAATTCCTGTGCTCATGGAGCACCTTCTACCAAAGGGAGATCAGACAGTAAACAAATATATTAGTGATATGTGCTCTGCAGGAAAATACTGTAGGGTAACGTGCTAGAGAGTGATGGGGGTGGTCTTTTACAGATGGTGGTTGGGGAAGTGTCTTTTCTAAGGAACATTGACTGAAGTGAGGTAGCTAGCGAGGCAGAGTGGGGAAGAGTGTTCCAAGTAGAATCAGATACGGTGGAGGAGCACTGTAGAGTTAGTTATAGAGTGGGGAAGGCTCAGAGTTGTACAAAAACGTGGTTTGAATGAATCGATGAATCGGTGACCAGGTAGCTTTGGTGGGCGTTCTCTTGAGGCAGGAGTCATTTTTGTGGATTCTTTGTATAAAATTCAGGATACTGCAATACATCTTGCATGGAGAATGTTTACATGGCTTCGCTAATTTCTTTTTCCATTTTGGTCTACCTCTGTTCAGGTTGATAATTTTTATACTCAGCACACCTGGTCTTAATGGAATGCCTGTATCTTGCTGGTACATTGTGGTTCTGAGGTTTGTTTTTAAAAATCATTTGCTTTCTTACTGTTTGGAGGGAGTGATTCATATGAAATACTCCAGAGAACTCTCTGGAAGAATGTTCTTAGATAAATAATTGGGTTAAATTGAATGAATAAAGATTTCATCTTGGCAACTTTCCTTATAGGTGCTCTACAACAAGCTTAGAGATTCTTCTCACGTATTAATTACAGTGTTTTTTTCTTGGCTCAACTTACTGCTGTGAGAGACAAAGAGAATTGAGAGGATCCAATTGACCACTCAGGCTCAGCCTCTCAGAGTGTTTGTGCAACTTCCTGTGAAAATACAGCCTTGATAGGGTCATCCTAGTCCAGGACTTTCTTCCAAAGTCTGAAGGCCTAGAAGTCCTGTTTCTGCTCTTTACCCAGAGATGAGAAGGCTCAGAGGGAATCTAAGCCCACTTAAGAAATTTAGGAAACATAAACCAGATACCAGTTTACTTATTTACAGTGACAGCACTAACTTTCAAGTGGACTAGAAGATTTGTGTGCCTCAGCCAGGGTCTTCCTTTGCCAAGAAAGTCACAATAAGACTTCAGTGGGCCCTGGAACTAAAGCAAGAGAGTTTGTTGAAAAAAATCTTGATGGATGGTTTCCTCGGGTTGGGATAGTGAGGTGGACCTATCTTTGCCACATACACACCTGCCAAGGAATCAGCAGGATCAGTTCTGCTGGTCAGGTGCTCTCTCCCTGGGCCTGACAGGAGACATGCTGTTGCTCTGGCCTCTTGAGTTGCTGGGCACCTCCCTCTTTCAGGTAGTGCAGTTTTGTTGCTTCGTTTCAGCAAAGAGAGAGCAGAAAGTAGCTAAGAGCATGGGCTTACCAGCATGTGATCATGGGAACATGACATAACCTCTCAGGGCCTTTGTCTGCTCTTTTGTAATTGAATACAAAGGGGTACCTTACCTTCTTCATAGTCATCATGAATAAACAGGTTAATGAATGTAACTAATGTCAGCTATTAATTACCCTCATATTCCAATTTTTCCTCCTCAGGATTATACTGGAGTCATGTTTAGGTTGTGTCTAAAAGTCATTTCACATATTTGAACATAGTTTTAGAGGTTGCTACTATATATAGTAACTACTATCCTCCTTTGAATGCATTTTATATATTTAACTATCAGAGGATAACTTTATTTTCAAGTACTTGGGTCTGAAAGTCTCCGTCTTTTCATTGGCATGTGTATTCTGTTTAACTTTATGTAACTAGTACTATGATTAGGTTAAAGTCTACCATTTTGCTCTTTGTTTTCTATTTATCTCATTTGTTTATTTCTTTTTCCTGCTTTTCTTTTGGATTAATTGAGTATTTCTTAGTATCCCATTTTATTTCCTCTGCAGGCTTTTTAGCTTTATTCTTTGTCCATGTTGTGTGTTTTTTATTGGTAATTTCTAAAAGTTACAATATGCATCCTTAACATATCACTCTGTACTCTTGAATTAATTTTATATGTGTCAGAACTTGTAAAAGTTCTAATGTTAGAACTTACCAAAATATACTTCATTTACCCACCTCTTATATCTATATATGATATCAGCCCACAATACATTAAGCAACCATTTTTCAAAGAAATAAGAAACAAAAAGTCTATTGCTAGTATGTACCCCCATATTTACCTTTTCTAGCTCTCTTTATTCCTTTGTGTACTAGTAGATCCAAGTCTCCATCTGGTATCATTTCCCTTCAGCCTAAGAAACTTTATTTACTATTCTTGTAGTGCAGGTCTATTGGTAATAAATTCTCTCAACTTTTTGTTGATCCTCTTTAAAGGATATTTTTGCTGAGATGTTGAATTCTAGTTCAGTGGGTACTTTTTCTTTCAGGACTTTAAATATGTCATCCCAGTGTCTTCTGGTTTGCATTTTTTAATATGAAGGTGGAGATCATTTTTATTGATATTCCCCTTATATGTACTCTGTTCAGCTCACAGTCTCCCAGTAATTGTTCTCTGCCAAGCCTCAGTCCTCTGTTCATAAGCAGCTTTGTATTTGACCACAGACTCAGTGGGATTCATAGGCAGATCTTTTGGGGGGTTTCTGCTCTTCATAGTGTCTTTCTCACTTCCTGCCCTCTAAACTCTAGCCCCGTAGCAGTTCTGAATTCTAATTTCTGTTTTCTTTGCCCAGCAAGACTGCTGCTGTCTCCTTGGGCTCTATGTCCTTGTGCCATGGACTGAAAAATGCTCCCAGGGAGAAATCTGGTTTGGATTTGGTGCTCATCTCATTTGTTTCCATGTGTCAGGATTCAAAACCCTGTGTTGTTTCTGTACAGTGTCTAAAAACAGCTGTTTAGTTTACTTTGCCCAGCAGTATGATAGTTTGTGGTAGGGATATAAGTCCCCCTTGTCCAGAACTGAAAGTTATGCCAAAGGAATTTAGTGGAACCTGACTAGCTAATTTCAGTATTCATAAGGATGAGATAAATGTGCAAGAATAATCAAGAAACAGTGACAGGAAAAAAATTAGAAGGAACTCAGTATAAAACTTTAGAAATTAAAATATGATGATAATGGTACAGGATTAGGAAAATAGGTCATAGAAAGGCTAGAAACAGGCCCATATGTATTTTACGTTGAAGATAGCATTTCCAACCATTGGGGAAGTGAATGGACTATTTAATATGTAGTTAAGATAGTTGGATTTCTAGTTGGAAAAATATAAAGTAGGATTTGTATTGCATACCATACATTTACAAAAATTGTAGATGAATTAAGCAATTAAATTCTAAAAATAGTCCAAGTGATATTGTTCTTCTTCCAAATGCATGGACAGTGTATTTAAATGAATATAGAGGGTCATTAGAGCAATTGTTTCTCCCTTTAGTCATTGAATTTTGAATATATGCCATGAACTTAATTAATAAAAATTCTGTGTGCCCAATACTTATGAGTTTTTCCCTGAAGCCCAGACTTACTCCACAGGGCACAGAGGTGGTGTGGTGCCCATTAGTGTAAAAAGAGATGAACAGTTATGTTCTCTGTACTAACCATTGTTTATGACCATTCATCTTAATTTACAGAAATATTTTTAAGATATGCCAGCTATTGGGAAATATATTAATGCTTTTAAAATATAAGTTAGTATAGTCTTTTTAGAAATCCGTGTGCAAAATATATCAGGAGTCTTTGTTACAGCAATTCCACAACTAGAAATTTATTCTAAATACCCTTTTGTATTGAAAGGAAAATGCCTTATACTCAAAAATACTGCTTTCAGTATAATTTATAATGGTGAAATATTGTAAACAAGCATTTTTTTTTCTGAATAAAGAAAACTGGTTAAATAGTTTAGATTATTATGTAGCCATAAAAAAGGGAAATATAAGCAAGTAATTACATTAAAACATGTTTATCTTAGGGGGAGAGGGTGGACAAAATTCAGAACTTATGATTATAATATGGAAGGAGTATACATGAACAAAGGTAAAGTACCTATTACACACAAAATATTAACTGGAACTTGGGTGATGGAACTATGAACTTTTTTACTTACTATAGTTCCTAGTTTTTTATCTTTTTTTAATCTTTATTATTAAAAGTATTACAGATGTCCCCTTTCCTAGATTTTTAAACGAAGTAATTTTCCTTTAATGAGTAATGGAGAAAAAACATTTATCTTTTGAAATATATATATGGGTGAGAATTATTACCTATTTTGGGGGCAAAATAATGCTTTTAAAAGTTAGGATTCACAGACAGTAGAGGGGGTGAAGGCCTGTGCTGGGGGGTGGGAGTGGGCAGGGAGAGGTCAATGGGGGAAAAAGGAGACATATGTAATACTTTCAACAATAAAGTATTTTAAAAAATAAATAAAAAGACTCTATTAAAATAAATAAATAGATAAATAAGTAAATGTTAGGATTATTGTAGCCCTGAGTTTTTCTGTTTTTTAAAAAATATATTTTATTGAATTTTTATAGAGAAGAAGGGAGAGGGATAGAGAGTTAGAAACATCGATGAGAGAGATCAATCAGCTGCCTCCTGCATGCCCCCCAGTAGGGATGTGCCCGCAACCAAGGTACATGCCCTTGACCGGAATCGAACCGGGGACCCTTCAGTCCGCAGGCCGACGCTCTATCCACTGAGCCAAACCAGTTCGGCTGTAGCCCTGAGTTTTAAAAAATAATGTATAATGTGAGATAACTTAGTTATCTTTATGGTATTCTTAGTCAAAAATAAGTAGAACTTAATGAGACTTTTCCAACATTATTGCTTTTACGGCATTAATTTTTACGGGGAAAATCTGCCTTTAAATTTCAGTTGTTGGTAGTGTTACATGAGATCTTTAGCCATCTAAATTGAAGGTATTTTTGTTATTGTGCTAAAATATATATAAGATAAAATTTACCATTTTCAATATATAGTTCAGTGGCATTAAGTATGTTCATATTGTGTGACAAATTGCAAAGATTTTAAGTATAAGCTCTCATTGGCTATAATTCTAAGTTAGTGCGAATTCCCTTAGAAAGTTTTTTTCTGGTGCCATAAATGTTTACTGAGGATGTAGTCAGTACCGTGCACTGTGCCTAGGGACACAACTGTGAATAAGACAGATGTGGTCTTGGCCCTTACATTTTGTTAGGGAAGTAAACAGAACACGTGGCTGTAAGGGAGGCGTGTGCATATGAGTCATGTTAAGAACACCTCCTGAGGAGTTAACGTGGGGGAGGGGGAAATTCAGGAAGGCTTTTCATGAAAAAGTGAGGGGAGCAGAGACTTGAAGGAGTAAGATCCTTTTAGGTAATTCAAACTAGATAAAGAGTAGGGGGAGGTATTTGAGGCATAGGGAACAAACGTGTGTGAGGAAACAGCTGAGGCAGGAGCAAGGTCCTGAGAAAAAAGAGGGGTGTGGTGTCAGAAAGGGGGGGGGGTGATGAAGATGAAGAGACAGGAGGGCAGATCCAGAGGACCTGATAAGCAGTGGTAAGGGTGTCAGACTTTTTCCCAAGGGAAATGTGAAACCACCAAATGGTTTTAATTTGAAAAATTTGATTTCCAATTTAAAGATCACTTTTCTTGCATGTAGAGAATGACGTAGCGGGGCCCATTGTGGTTTGAAGAGATGGGGCTAATCATGGATTACAATGTAGGGGAGTGGAGGGGAAAGAGGAATCGAGCATGATTGCTAGGTTTCTGACTTCAGAAACTGTTTATTCAGGAAAGTAACACTGGAGAAGAAGCTGCCTGAGGAGGAAGGTGAGTTTAGGTTTGGACAAGTTCAGAGTCAGGGGTGCCTAGGGCTATCCAAGAGGAGACACCCAGTAGGCAATTGTACTTAAGGGTGGAGATCCAGGAGAGAAGTCTGGGCACATAAATGATGGATGACCCAACAACTAATTAGCATACTTAAATGTTTTTGTACCTCTTTCATCTGTTTTTTGTCTCTCAACAGTTGCAGGAGTGAATCCTGTTACTGCAACAGATGGTTTCTCTTCTAATGCTGACCAGCACTTAAAAAAACATAAATGTTTTGCTTATTGTCTTGAACTTCAACTTCAATGTGTAAACACAACCCCATTAAAGCAAACTGAAACTGCTTGTTTTTTGAGTCTATGAAAGTTTGAGGTCTGAATGCAATCGAAAGTCTCACATTATCTAAATAGAAAGTGGTGGCCAGGGGGGTTATGAGTTTCACAAGGTTACAGAGCTGGGCAGTTGCAAAACTCTGTATTAAATGGGCAGTCTTATTTCCATTGCTTTTTGCTGCTTCCCTCTCCTGTTGAATACTGCTGACTTCAGAGTACCACGTACTAATGATTTGTTTCTTAAAGGACATGGACAATGCCCACTCTGGTCTCACAATCCTGAGGGCTAGAAATTTGTTTTTATAGAATACTTATCTAATGATAAGAAATATTTAAATGAATATTTTGACTTCTTATGAAACCACTTTAAAACGTCTCATGGTTCATGGGCCCATTTGGCTGTGTAATGAATAACTATTTATGTACATATAGACATGCAGTTTTACATACAGTTTTGGGAACTCCATAGATTCCAAGTTAAAGATCTGTTATATAACTCTTAGGCTGCTTTCAAGGAAATGTGAACCAGTTTTTCTGGAAAGTGTTCAAGAATTTCCTCATTCTCTCAAATGAGTACCAATACATTTTAAAGGATTGAATAGTAACTAGTTCAATTAACTTTTCAAATGCCTTATAGACAGTCCACATCTCCTGATCCATTAGTCACCATTGACTAATATAATATCCATCTTGGTGACACAGTCTCTGGAAATTTTAAAAGGCTGTTGATGGTACTGAATTAGAGAATTAGAAATCTATTAATGTCTCAGAGCCCTGATCAAAGTCAGGGCAAAGAAAAGCCCATTTTATTGGTGCTTACTTATTTTTTTATGAATCTAATTAAAAGTGAAAGGGAAGGAGAAGATACAAGCCACCATCTTTACTTTTAACCCCTCCAAAGGCAAAAAACGTATACAGAAAGCAGGAATTATAATATGGTGTCCAGAGGAGGGGCAGGGCCTTTATCCTGAGTCCCCCTCTGGTCATGTGGAGTTGGAGGTAGAAACCTCTCCCTCTGCTGCCAGCTTCTTCCCACTACCTCCTCTGTTCTCTATCGGATGTTTGCCCTTCCTTCCTTCCTTTAGCATGAGGAAGCTTCTCTCAGACTATAACCCATCCTGCTCAAGATAAATTTCTAGTTTGAAAAATGTCTCTTATTTATAGCCCCTCCTTCTTAGGATGAATTCTATCTGGCCAGTATACCTCCTTTCTCTTTTTCACAAGTTGCTTTAAAAACATGTATCTTCGATGGAGTTTCTAATGATAAATTGGCACATTTTTTGTTTTATCACTGTCTACAACATATTATTTGTGTGCCCTCCCTTCTGTTAACGCCCTAGATTGAAAGCTTCCTGGACACAGGGATCTCCATTTCATTTGCCACTATATTCCTGTGACCCAGCACGTTGTCCAGTGCCTGGTTCTGGCAGGTGCTCAGTGAATATTTGAATGAATGAATGTCCTTCCCATAAACTCGTCTGGAACACTGACAGTGTATGGTAATGCAAGCGGATTTTTATTAAAGGATAGTCCAGTGGTTAGCCTGTCAGAGCTGATCACGGAGTGTCTGAGAAGCACTGCCTCAAGCTTCTCCACTTTAGGGCCTTCTGTGGTCACACAGGAGCCACACAGAACTTTGTGTGTCCCAAATCCTTTGGCCAGGAGAAGACACTTCCCTTTCAGTAGGGACCCAGCAGAGTGACTGAGAGTTTAGCTATGGAACCAGATTGTCTGGTTCTCATCTTCCTGGTCGTGTGACTCTGGCAGTTACTGATCCTTTATGTGCCCCGTTTATACATCTGTAAATTGAGGCTAGCAGTAGCACCTGTTTTGTAGGGTTGATTGAGGATTAAAAGAGTTGCTATAGGGTTAGCAGGATAGTGATGGTGGTGGTGGTGGTAGGATTTAGTCAATAATGTAGGGTGAGGATTTCTGTACTTTGTTTTTAATCTGATCATTCCATTTTATTACTTTTTTTTCATCATTGCTCTTAAAATGTAAGAATCAAGTCATCTCAGAAATATTCTTACCATTTGAAGAAATATTCACATTAGGTAATATTTTTTAAAGATAGCTTCTTAAGAGATGCAATTTAATTCATTGAATTAGTTGTTTACATTATTATGTAATGTTTATTTTCATGGGGATACTAAGTAGGTTTCTTATCCCCAGGGTCTGTGTAAAATAAATTTCATCTGTTTGGAGCATTTCTAGAATACTGTCCTTCATATTTGAATCTTCATCACATAGTTTCTGCTGGAAAAGATTAATAATATATTACATTATTATAAAATCACCCTGAACTACCATCATGGAAGATATTTTCTTACAAGATTATTTTCTTGAATTTTAAAGATTATTTTATGTAGAATTTAATTGTGCTTCTGTGTCTTTTCTTTTTTTAATGGTGAATCCATAGGCGCCAGATCCCAAGTTTCTGTCAAAAAGAATTATTCTTAGGTCAGCCTTAAGAACAGGAAGGGAGGAGAGGATCAAATGAGAGAGAATAAAAAGAAAAGCCTTTAATTATAATCCACACCCACAATTGATGACTTATAGCAATCTGGGCCTAGAGAGAAATACCAATAAGATTGAAACATAATCAGTCTGTGACCTAAATTTGTCTTTTTGGGGGTTTTGTTATCACTAAAATATTAATGACAAAAATACTATTCATAATTTTCTAGTAGTCTAAAAAAAATTTTTTTTTGTCTTCTGCTCTTCTATCCTAGAAAGGCACTTAGGGTAGGGGGAAACTTTGAAAAGGATCTTAAAATGAAAGGAGAGCATAGAAACAGTAGACAAGCCATGTGAGAATTTAGTCATTTGTTTTTTAATGGGGCATGTGGATGATAGGTGTGTCCATGAAGGCGTTTCCGTTCCATGTTAATGAGTTGTCCTACTTTCAGTCCAGTGGAGCTCTCTGGCCTCCTCATGTCCAGGAACTTATGGGTTTGGGGAGCTGGTTCTTTTGTTGATGATATCATTTAATTTTAATTCTAAACACACAAGTCCTTTTTCTTATAAAAAACTTACCTACAGGGTTGGGGGGGGGTGTGAACAATAAAGGCTCTCTTGGGTCATATGGATAACACCAAAAAATGACAGATATAGGAGAAAGAAATAAAGATGTTTTAAAAAGCAAGGTACATGGCAAAAAGAAAAAAGGCAAGGTACTTGGCTTGGAAGGAGTGCAGAGATGAACCAAAAAACTACAACAGGTGCCATAAAGCTAAATTATTTAAATAAAAGAATGAAAGGAGAAGAACCTTGGTTAATCTATATCAGCGGTTCTCAACCTGTGGGTCGCGACCCCTCTGGGGGTCGAACGACCCTTTCACAGGGGTCGCCTAAGACCATTAGAAAACACATATATAATTACTTATTGTTTTTGTGATTAATCACTATGATTTAATTATGTTCAATTTGTAACAATGAAAATATATCCTGCATATCAGATATTTACATTACGATTCATAACAGTAGCAAAATTACAGTTATGAAGTAGCAACGAAAATTTTATGGTTGGGGATCACCACAACATGAACTGTATTAAAGGGTCGCGGCATTAGGAAGGTTGAGAACCACTGAGCTATATGGTGTGATTTGATCTTTTAATGGCCTATCAGTGTCCTTTGTCGTGCTTATTTTTAGTTGAAAAGATGGTGGTTGCAGAATAAGACGTTGCTGCACCGTGTGGTAACAGTGGTCTCCAATATTTAATATGTACAGCCTGACTTGTGTATGGTGGGAGTGGGATGGCTGTGATTGTGATTATTGGGAGCCTTTCACAGAAACAGTCTTCTTTCTTGTGCTTTCCAGATTTTCACCCGATGGAAGACTAATTGTATCATGTAGTGAGGATAAAACTATAAAAATTTGGGATACCACAAGTAAGCAGTGTGTCAGTAATTTCTCAGATTCTATAGGGTAAGTCCATTCTATTTGTGCATTTATGTGATGTGGTTTAATAAGGAGACATTTAATTTATTACAGTTTGAATAAAGAAATGAAAGTAAAGAAATCAAAATATGAGACCATCTTATCCTTTCCTCCTAGGTTTGCAAATTTTGTGGATTTTAGCCCTAATGGTACATGCATAGCTTCAGCAGGTTCTGATCATACTGTGAAAATCTGGGATATACGATTAAACAAATTACTCCAGCATTATCAAGGTACAGTGTCTATAACAAAAGAATTCAGTTGTTGAGTGGGCTCCTGGGAAACTCTTCAACTGACAGACTACCCTTCTCAGTGTGGCCTGGCCCTCTTAACAAGAGCCACGGGCTGCCTTTGAACTGACTGAAAGATAGTCAGCCCCCTCAGCAGCATGGTCTGAGAAGCTGGGGTAGATGCCAGAGTGGAGAGGGAGGTGGAGGCACCTTAAAAATGATGCCAGGACTATAAAGAAAAAAGAAAGAGATTACTGTGAGACTTGCAAACTCTGGTTATTTGCTGGAGTAACTCTGATTATATAATTATGAGAAGTCGGGGATAGAAATTGGCACAAATACTTGTTATAACTGGTAGAAAACAACATCTGACTGTGCCTATGTATTAAAGTTAAAAGAGAAATAAATCAATTTCTTGGTTTATATTGGGTTTACATTAAGTCCACATTTCTCAGACTTAAGTGTAATATTTACCATGTAGCTACAATGATAAATTTCTTCACAACAGCCCCAAGAGGCGGTATTATTATTATTACTCCCATTTAAAGATAAGGAAATTGAGGCTTAAAGAGGCTTTAAGTGACCTCCTAAAAGAATTGAAAATTGACCTGGGTCTTTCTGTTTACACTTTCCATCACTGTGTTATACTGCCTCCTATTGGAAAGATGGTGAAATGAGAAATGATTGCTCAAACTGGCAAGATTGTGCCCTTCTCCAAATATATCTCCACACTCTTTACCCCTTAGTGCCAAGCTGTAATTGATTACTAAATTTAGCTTAAGGCAAGGTTGTATACCTTTTGTGAGCTGGTAATAATTAACTGTTGGTTATATTGGTAATATATCTGAAGACTTTTAGTTATGTGGTTAACAAGATCATCTTTCCATGACATATTCTCATATTGAAAGCTATTCTTTCTCATTAGCTGGATACTCAAGCTATATGATGCCAAACTACTTATTTGTTTTAGTAAGCTACTTAGAAATTTGGTGTTGTGGAGACATTGCCTCTAATTGATTTTTGTTTTCAACCTAAAATTGCTAATAGATCCAAGGGGCATCTTTACTGGTAGAATTAAGAATTGTTCTCTAAAGTTTTTGCTTTATTTTCTACAAATCAGTTCACAGTGGCGGAGTTAATTGTGTATCATTCCATCCTTCGGGTAACTATCTCATCACTGCTTCTTCAGATGGTACACTTAAGATTTTGGATCTACTAGAAGGAAGGCTCATATATACACTTCAAGGACATTCGGTACTAACACTGAGATTTTTGTTTTTTAAATGATATATATTTTAAAGTTTTGATCCATTTTATTATATGCTTTTATTACTTTTCCAAGTATAACATACATTGCTGCTGTCATAAAAAAATATTTTTGCCTCCAAGATGATGCTTTTATCCTCTAGAAGCAACTATTAGAAATAATATTTATTGTAATTCTTGTCAAAATCAATGTGTATCTTTTATAGCCATTAAATTAATCTTTCATTATTATCTTCATCAGGATGTAGTTTAGGTTTAACTGGTTAAGTGGTGATAGATACATTTTTTCCCAACCTCTGATCTTTCTTATGTGGAAGCTATCCCACTAGCTCTGACACTCAGCCTCTCACACCCCCGCAGTCATTTCTTTCACTAGTCTGGTGAGATTAAAAGGAGAAATTTAACAACAAGTAGAGCCCAATGACTTCTGCTCTTGGAAGTAAGCCTGCCCTTACTTTTCCTCTGATACTTATTGTGGGGAGGCCTGCCCTTGTCCAGTCTTGCCTGTGACTGGGAACTCAGATCTGACTCATTCTGGTATTCAGATCTAGAAAGCCCATTTGTACACATAAAACCACATTCTTTCTTTGCAAACCTTTATCAGTATGAAAGGTGATATTTGGCTCTCATGTGCCTTATTTTTTTGTGTTATTTCTCAGTTGGTTTATAACCCAGTGGGGAAGTAAGGTCCTATTATTGAGCTTGTTCAATTACACACACACTCACACACACACACACACACACACACACACACACACACACCCTGGCATATAACACACGAAAGAAAAACTTTTTTAAGTATGTAAACTAGTCCTCCTTTCTGGGTAAATATTCAAACTCCTCTAAATTTTTTAGAATGCATCCTTTTAAAAAAGTACTAGATACTTCCTTTTAACCAAGTATAAGCAGTTTATATCCAGAAATAGAATAGGCTCAGTGGTCTAGGGGTGAAGGGTTTTTTTCTGATTTCATATATCTTGCTTGGCTTCCTGCTTGCTTTGTCATTTGCTCTGCAGCTGTGTTAGTGTGAAGCAGAAATAGACACGAACCAGCTCGTGTGTGTATTTAAGCTGAATAAATAACCAATAAAAGTAGCCAAGGATTAAAATACCCATGGAAATAGATTAATAGAAAAAAAGATAAACAATATTTTAGAAGAAAAATTTATACACAAAGGTGGAATTTTTCACAATGTGGAGGAAAAAGATGTTTATGGGGCTACAATAACCTAAATCTGTGGGGTTGTCTACTTAAAAATATAAGGTGTTTTTCCCCAGAAGTTTTCTTGTATAGATTAAGGGCACATTAACAGAACAGAATATACTGGTATTTTGAAATGAGAAATAATTACTCTTATCTGGATTGAAAAGTTGACCCAGAGGCTATGCATGTTGTGACTGTGCCAAGTGTAGTCTTGTCCAACTTCACAGTCATTGCTCAATTTCAAGTTCTCATTACCTCTCACCCAAATAATTGCAGTAACTTCCTAACTGGCCTCCAACCATTCATTCTCACTTCAGTCCATCATCTCACAATTGCAACATCAATTTTCACTCAATATTATTTTGTTTTAGTTTCAGGTGCACAGTATAGTGGTTAGACCAGCTGTGGGCAAACTACAGCCCGCGGGCCGGATCCGGCCCGTTTGAAATGAATAAAACTAAAAAAAAAAAAAAAGACCGTACCCTTTTATGTAATGATGTTTACTTTGAATTTATATTAGTTCACACAAACACTCCATCCATGCTTTTGTTCCGGCCCTCCGGTCCAGTTTAAGAACCCATTGTGGCCCTCGAGTCAAAAAGTTTGCCCACCCCTGGGTTAGACAGTCATATGCTTTACAAAGTGTTTGTGACATCAATTTTCATCACAGCTCTCCTGCTGTCTATATCCTGCTTTTAAAACTATTAGTGGCTCACTGTTGCCCACATGAAGGGTGACTCAATGAAGCCTGTTGAAGTCAGAAAATGGGAATATGGCCTTTTTTTCATGTAGCTTCATTCTTAATCACTCTCAGAGTTATCATTTAGTTTCTGCTAGTGATTTGTTGAATAAAGAGTCCAAAGCCAGACAAGTCTTAAAAGAAATTCTGTAATTGGAAAAGCTTGTAATTACATATGTACAAGCTTTTCTTTAAAAGGAAAAAAAAAAGGTGTATTTTAAAATTTTTATTAGAATTTCTTTTACATTTAATATCATTTATATGTGTTTTAATATAATTGGGTTGGTTCTTTGATTACCTTCACTCTAACTGCATTAGTTGCTAGCAGTTGGATATGTTCTCTCAGACTTATTGCATCAATAGTCTACATAAATTAGAAAAAAATTAATATTCACAGTATGCTTGGCCATAAGAAAACATCACCAAGTAACTTTTTTTAAATTTCCATTTATATCTTAGGGACCTGTCTTTACTGTTTCATTTTCAAAAGGTGGAGAGCTATTTTCATCAGGAGGCGCAGATATGCAGGTTTGTACGTCTTTCAGCTCCCTCTTTGATTAGGTTAGGGCAAAGGAGTCCAAGACCTCAGCACAGATTTTCACAACCAGCTAGTTTGTATATGTTCCAATGAATTTATATTTTAACTTAATGCCAGGACGTCTGCTGTTTCATAGCTGAAATCGTGACAGTTTTGATAATCTTGGAACTCAAATAGCAGTTATTTTCTTTGCTTGTCTCTACACTTATACATGTAACTGACACTTATTGTATGCCAAATATTAATGTGGCACTTTCACTTGAATTGTTGCCTAATATTTTGTCTGTATCTTGTGTTTGAAATGTTAAGGTTCTTGAGGATTGTAAATATAAATTGTTTATGCAGTAATTTTGCATTTACTTAAAATAACCAAAAGTCATTCATTGTCAGATTTATTGAATATGGTGGACAACATGGTTTTGGGCTTTGGGAAAAAAAAGAGGATTTTAAGGTAATGTTATTTTCTTAATATGAATTTTAAACGACATGAAGGCAGTTCAGATGGCTAAATCTCTCACCCTTAAAAAAGTATTGAGAAGTAGTAATGTTGAAATATTTATCTAGTCTTCCTATTTCGAGAGGCATTTTTGTATATTCATTTTTTTTAAAAATCTGTTCTATTGCTTGTATATGCAAGTAAATAAATTGCCAACTTGTTTAATTTTTTTAAACAGATTTTATTATGGAGGACTAACTTTGATGAACTGAATTCTAAAGATGTTCTTAAAAGAAATCTCAAAAGATTACATTTTGATTCACCACCACATCTTTTGGACATCTATCCAAGAACACCACATTGCCATGAAGGGAAAATCGAGACTGTTGAAGTGAGTACTTTGTACATATTTGTCCTGCTATTTGTAAGTGCAGATTTTGGGGCTACTGGTCAACTAGATGCTTGAAATCATAATTATAGAAAACCTAGTTCTGCCTTACAACAGCAGAACTTTGAGAAACAATTATTTTTACTCGTAAAACTTTAAATATGACAGTATGTAATCGATCTAAAGCCTCTCATATTTGCTTCTTGAAGACTTAGAAATAAAACTTAAAAACTGTGTTAATAGTAATAGGAAATGACAAATCTAAGGCTTTGGTGACTAAAGTCTGAGCAAGTTTCTTATTCTAGGCATGTGTAGGAAGCTCATGTGATGGCTGCCATGAGAATAGTGCTAAAGGGCAATACTTATGACAGTTATTGAAATAAATATCTTGAAGTCCTTTCATAACAAAGAAGAAAATCTTATGGACAATAAAAAGAAGAGATTTGGGCATTAAACCTAATAATTGGAACTATTTTACTATTTGCTTACATATATTTTCAAATATATAATTATTTAGATGTGTTTTTTGTTGACAAGTTTCTTTAAGTGCTATAGATTTAAATGTTCTCTCTTCAAAAAAAAAATCATCATTGTTCAATACTTTCCATTTTGCATGATTCTCCATAAGCCCCTTTCTCTTCCAAGAGTTAATATTAAATCATTATTTCCAATTCATCTGAATTTTTGATCACCAACAGAGCCTCTCTTTGTGTTTAGAGTAGCTATTTAGAGTTCCTAAGTGCAAGTTTTTAAAACTTTTAAGTTTTTTGGTCTATTTTCTATATTTTGTTTAATCTAGCCACATTTGGGGGTTTCTATCCTGGTTTTTTCTTGGTAATGTTTATTTTCAGTTCTTTGATATAATTTTGGTCCTTTCCAACTTTGACCTTCTTTCCAGTTCTTCTAAATAAAGTATTTACATTATGCTTTACTACTCCTCTTATTTTTTTGAAAGTATATAATGTAATTTTTGGCTCATCACATTTGTGTTTCAGTTTCTATAATGATAGATGTATTTTGATCCCCTGTGATTACAAGTATTCACATAAAATATATGTGAAGTATATTTTAATTTGCATTCCCTTTCCTTGTTTAACCCCAGCTGGTTTTGCTAACACTCTCAGTGTTTTCTGTTCTAGCATTACTGTGGTGTGACTGAGCCTAACCATCCATGTAGTTGCTGCCCTGTCATCCGTCCAGCCACCTTTTCACAGGGATGGCTGGCTGGCTGGGCTGCAGGCCGAGCTCTGCTCTCCTTACTCCTAATTCAGTGCTATTTCCATGACTCCACACTACCTCAGTGCTGGCACTTCAAGCCATTTTCTCTGTGATTTACTGCCAGTCCCAGGCCATTTAAGAGTGCTGACCCTTCTTCAAAACATCAACAAGTTGTCTGAATAGCTCTGCTCTGACTGCAGCCAGAAAGTGAACTGGCCGGTTGCTCTGTATGGCGAGGTCAGGATGACCCAGGCCATGCAAGGCACACTCAACCGTATTTTTCACATATACACTTAAGAATCCTATTAAAAGCTGACTTTTCACCTTGGAATCAGAGTTCAGTTACAGAATGTTAAGCACTGTGACTGAATTATATTTGTGGCCTTAAGAAAGCCAGCCTGAGTGTACCTACTTTAAATTACCTGTAAGCACTCATGGTTGCTTAAATTAAGTACACAATGAACATTTGTAAAATACCTATATATTCTGTAATATAAAATACCAGAGAAGTGATAGGATTCTGCATATGAACAATTGTTTAATTTTTTTTTAAATCTCTTACATTGGCCCTCAGACTAGACGCAGTGATGGCGAACCTATGACACGTGTGTCAGAGGTGACACGCGAACTCATTTTTTTGGTTGATTTTTCTTTGTTAAATGGCATTTAAATATGTAAAATAAATATCAAAAATATAAATCTTTGTTTTACTATGGTTGCAAATATCAAAAAATTTCTATATGTGACACGGCACCAGAGTTAAGTTAGGGTTTTTCAAAATGCTGACACGCCGAGCTCAAAAGGTTCGCCATCACTGGACTAGAGGGTCCTGGGTTGTGGCCAAGGGCACGTGCCGTACCTCTGTTGCAGGCTCGATCCCTGAGTGTGGGAAACAACTAATTGATGTGTTTCTCTCTGTCTCTCCCCCTTCCTTCCACTCTCTACAAATTAATGGAAAATTTTTAAAACCACTAAAAAAATCTCTTATAATAAAATAAGTTTTCTAGACAGAGAACATATTTAATATTATTAATAAATAATTATTAAATATCAAATTATTTTTAAACACTTTAAATATCACCTAGAATAGAATAGTATGAATCAGACTAGATATTATGCAGTGTATTCACTTAGATTAAGTACATTTTACTTTGAAAGACAAAATTTTGTGGATTGAATTATTTTTCAAATCTTTAGGCAAACTCAACTTACATGTTACTTTGGAAATGTTTGAAAATTAGCAAAAACATTTTTGAGGTTGGAATTCATGATTAAAAGAACAAAAATGTATTATGAAAGGATATGGAATAAATGGCATCTATAATCTGATTAATTTCACTAACTTTTTCTTTCTGCAGTAACCATGAAAGTTTCCTTTCCAAGTTTGAAGCAACATTGCATTTCTGTGATTTAAATTGTATTCTGTTTTCCATGAAACTCATTTGAATTGCATAATTTCAATCTCCTGGGTGAGATTATTTGGCCTTTTTTGCAAAAGCCACCCATTTGCCAGCCTTAAGTGCTCCACTCCTTTGAAGGTGGGGGATCCTGCGGAGTCTTAGACCTTGAGTACCAGCTGACTAAATATATAAATTACTAATTTCTACATGGGTAGGCAGGAAGATAGCAGTTTGCTTTTAGAATACACGAGAGAAGAAGGTCACATGAAAGAAGGTATGAGGCATAAAATCCTTACCCCGCTGTGTGAAGCAGACGCCTCCTGTGTCCTCTCTGTTGATCTAACTGCAGATCCTTTGTAGCACTCCTGTCCTAGGCACTCCATCTTAATTAAAAACATGAGAACAACTTCTTTCTTTTTTTGGTGGGAAAGAAGCCTAATTTCTAAATAATGTGTCTTAGCCCTGCCCACACTGTGCTATGGCACATCACTAGGTCATGCTGACTTCAAGCTGTCAGGAGCTACTATAAATTGCCCAGCCCTGCTCCCAAACAAAAGCAGACTTCACATCTTGGAGAAGGAACTTAATGTGAGTGCATGAGCAATCCCCAACTCTTGTGCATATTTTCATTGGAAGACAATAGAGTCATTCTAAGGGATGGTGTTAGATCTTGGTGACAGTAAGGCATCAAAATAGTTATTCTGGGAGAATTGTAGAATATTATAAGAAGGGATGGTGGTTAATCAGTTTAAGAGTATTAATAAAATAATTGCTCCATTGGCCTTTAATTTTATAATGGCTATTTAGGACTATCTTAATCTATAAGTTGCATTGGAAATTCTGTATGATATTTAGTAGGAAGGAAAACTTCTTTTAACGTAACCAAATATTTGTATAAAAATCTGGACATGATTCATTGTTGAAAACTACAAGTGATCAATTTAAGTCTTCAAGTCTGAGATTGAGCTTTATTTCAATCTTGTATAAAGGTAGAAAACATAATTTATGGTAAAAAAAATAACATTTCTCTACCAATCTTGTATTTTAGTTCTAGCTGGAGTATATATGGCTATATTATTTTGTTCTGTATTATTGAATTGTTCTTCAGAGATTACATGATAATAATACTAATAATATCTAACACATACATTATTTTAATTCCTTCACATAAATTAAGTCATTTAATCTTCCTAAAAACTCTATGAAGTAGTACCATTTTTATTCCATGAGAAATCGAGGCAGTTAAATCATAAAGCTAGTAGATGGGAACACTAGAATTCAACCCACACACTCTGATTCCATTCTGTACTTTTAACCATTTTGATATAATGCCTCAATATAATCAAAGTTAACATATCTATGTGTTGGACATTGTAGTAGCTTTAGGGTGTGCAACAGGGGACAAAGTGGGCAGATTCCTTGCCCTTCAGAATTTGTTAGTAGCGGTGTTTGTGTTCATGAATTCCTAAGTATGATGGATACAGAGAACCTCAGAGTGGGGTTCTCACCCTCTGCGGTCATATAGACTAACCTCTCCCTCTTGCATGAATCTCTCAATTATATGCCCTGTGTTCAGTGATAGAGCATTCAGCCTCTCCTAAGGGCCCACTTCATTTTGAGGCAATTAATTATTAAAGGTTTCTCCTTTTAATAAAAATGAAAAGCTAGAAGGTAGTGTTGGTATTCCTGAAGGTCAGCTAGCAAAGAACTTAACTGTGACTGTCACCCTCCCCCCTCCATCCCCAGCATATTTTCTTTATGGAGAAGAATGTGAACTTTTACTTAATAAGAATTTCCTGCTCTGTTTAACGTATATGTCAGTAACTTGTGCCACAATACAATAAAATGCTGTTACAGCAACAGTTTCCCAACTTATATCAGCTCAAGGACTTCTCAATGAGAGATGCTGACCATTTATTTCCATGTGATTTAGATTTTTAGAGCAGTTCCAGGTTCAGGTGGTAAAGCCAGATTGTATTTTTCATAGGGAAACAATTTCATATCTACACTAGGTGGCAGTAGATAAAAGAGAATAGAATGTTTGCAAGCAATTTCTTAGGACAGCTTGTCTTAAGATGGAAAGGAAAGCTGTCATCCTCAGATTTCTTGTCTTTCGCCTTAACTCTGGCCTCAGAACTCATAGGATGGGGCTGTGTGTTCTGCTCTATGGACAGCCAGGAAGGAGCACGGGTGTTGAGAGGCTAGCCGCTAGTCCCCCTTCTCACCCTGAAGCTCCAATCTCTTCTTTACTGTAGCATGGCGATTACTGTGTATATTCCTCTGCCTCTAACACAATTGGCTGAATGACTATAAAAGTTTCTTCATGTTTCCAAAACGACAGCTATACCCTTCAAATTGGATAAGAGCTTTTAAAATCATTCCACTCTTCTAACCTCTGGCTCAGCCCTCACCTCCACTGCCCAGGACTGTTACAATAGTGTCCTCACTCTTATCCCTGCTTTATTCTTGATACTCTGGATGTCTCTGTCCCATTAATCTTTCTAAAGCACATTTTAGCTTCCAGTTTTTTTGTGCCTTCCGAAATTCCTCCGCCCTTCACAATTTGACCTTTGCCAGCCTCTCTTATTGCTACCCTGTGCAAAAGTCAGCATTCACCTGTCTGCCCAGAAATGTTTCTTAACTCATTGCTGTGTTTTCTGTGTGTGTGTGTGTGTGTGTGTGTGTGTGTTTTCAAAACCTTCTGTAAAGGAGCCGTCTTCAGCTCTGTGTCCTCCATAGGAGGCCTTTCTCACCAGGTGCTCAGACAACAGGTTCTTCTTTGCAGTTCTTCTGAGTCCTTACTCCTATCATTCATTTCATAACAAGTTCTGCTGTCTTTGGTGCCCTTTGTTCACTTCTATTCATAATGTGTAATAAATAGTTGGTGGTGATGTGGTTTAATTTTATTTTCTCAAATTCAGAAATAACCTCCCTCAAAAGTAGTTGCCACTCTAGTTAATTATTATGTTTCACATAAAAGTATGGTTTGATGGTTTTAAACTTTATACAAATGAAATCATACTGAGTCTATTTTTCTGTAATCTGCTTTTTAATATAATATTAAAATTCTGAGAATCATGTATGCACTCTGTATTTGTACATTTACATATTGTTGCATGTAGTTGTAGTTCATTTCTTTCACTGCTGTGTGGGATTCTGATGAATTTACCACAGTAGTAATCTCCATGATTTACGTATCTACCCTACTGTTGATAAACATTTGGGGCTTTCGGCCATGGTTATTTTTTCTTTTTTGCATTACAAACAATGCTGAGATTGATGTTGGCATCATTGAGCTTTTGAGTATTTTCGGTTTAATAGGTGTCAAGTACTATTTTCCTTTAATCTTTTCTAATTACTAACGTTTCTAAAAACCTCTTTATATGCTGGTAAGCTGTCAGGTTTTCTTATAATTTTTTTCTTGGGATTTCTGTCTTTTTCACGTTGATTTGTAGGTTTTTCTTATGGATTTTAGATACTTGCCCTTTTTAGTTTTAGACATCATAACTACCTCCTTCTGTTCCATCATCTGAGTGTTAACTTTGTGATGTTCATTGTTAAACAGAAATCCTTAATTTGATATAATCAGATGCATTAATATGTTTTTTCTTTTTCCTTGTGGTTTTGCTTTTGCAGCTTTTGTGTAAGTCCTAGTAGTCCTTCTCGACCCTGGGTTGCAAAGATATTCTTATATATTTATCTTTATTAACTTTGTAACGACATAACACTTAGATTTCTAGTTGATATGTTATCTACCTTTGTATGTAGTATATTAGTCAGGGGCCCATATAATGAGCCAGTTTTTTCAACTATAAATCATCTTTCCTCTGTTGATTTGAGGTACCATTTTCCTTTTATATTTATTTTCCGTACATACAGGGCTCTCCATCTGAGCTCCTTATGTTAGAAATTTTTATTTTGTGTCTTTACATGAGTTTGATTATTTTTTCCTGTATAGGTCATATCCATTTTCTTAAAAATATATTTTATTGATTTTTTACAGAGAGGAAGGGAGAGGGATAGAGAGTTAGAAACATCGATGAGAGAGAAACATTAATCAACTGCCTCCTGCACACCCCTTACTGGGGATGTGCCCGCAACCAAGGTACATGCCCTTGACTGGAATCGAACCTGGGACCCTTCAGTCTGCAGGCTGATGTTCTATCCACTGAGCCAAACCAGTCAGGGCTATATCCACTTTTATATGTTTACTAGTGGCCCAGTGCATGGATTCGTTCACATTAAAAGGGAATCTGGTGCAGCAAGCTAACCCACAGCCGATTCCATGAGGAATTGGCTCCCTCCCCACTCCTCTCTGGGTCTGGGGTGCAGGTGAATCAGTTTCGGGGCCGACAGGGCCCCAGCAACAAACTAATCCACCGCCAATTCCGTGAGGAATCAGGCTCCCTCTCCCTCCTCTCTGGGTCCAGGGTGTGGTTGAACCAGATTCGGGATTGACAGGGCCCCAGGAGCAACCTAACCTACCAGTCGGAGCGTCTGTCCCCTGGTGGTCATTGCGCATCATAGCTACTGGCCGAATGGTCACTTAGGCTTTTATATATATATATATAGATTCTGATGTATTTATTTTATGGTATTGTAAATATCTTTTTGAAATTTATATTTCTAACTATCTTGAAGTGCAGACATACAATTTATTTTCAATTTAGTAAACTTTCTTTTAGCTTTAATGATGTAGCAGTAGATTCTTTGGGGATTTTTCCATAGACAGTTATATAATATATGATGACAATTTTATTTCTTCTATTCCAATTCTTATATCTTAACAACTTTTGTTTCCTTTTTTTGTGTTAATAAACTGGCTAGGATTTTTTCTGCATTTTGAGGTGGGTCATTTTATTTTGTTTTTAAATCCCCTTATTAGGTGAATTATATTGATTTTCTAATGTAAAATTAACTTTTTATTTCTGGAATAAATTCAACTTGGTCATGATCTTTTCTTATACATTGATAGATTCAATAGGCTAATATTTTGTTTAAAATTTTTATATCCATGTTAATGAATATACCAATGTACTTTAAATTTAGAATATATTAGGAAATGCTCTCTAAGTTTTACAAATGTCCTCCAGTTTCTTATAATATAAATTTCTAATATTAACTTTTCTTATGTATATACACAGATTAATCCAAAGCTTGAGGTAACTGACTTGCGGACCTCTACTCCACCTGTTGTGGACATCCTTTCTTTTGGTTCTACCACCGTAAGTTTTCTTTGACATTTAAGTGGCATTTCAGTATTTAGCACAATCCATTTTTCTTTAAAAGAGAGGTGATAAAAAGTGGGCTAATAAGTAGCCTAACATTTTAGCATAGAAAAACTTTATACAAAAAGTCATTTACAATGTGTCTACATAGCCACAAGGGGGAGCAGCCCAATTTCTTAAAAAGCCTTCATTTTGAGGACCTCAAACTCAGTCTAATCCATACTCACTGTTTCATCTCCTCTCAAGGTGCTACTCAGATGACATTTCACTTGCTGTCACAGAACAGACTTTCTTCTTTGTTAATTGCCTTTCAGAGGTGTTACACTTACTTGTAGTCTCCTTAAAAGCAGTTTTTTACCTTTGTTAATTCCTCCTGGTGGACTAAGCAGACATTCACAAGTATTCCTAATACTTGCAATTTTGTTTGTAAAAATCCCATACAGATAACTTATTTACTCAGTATAGCCAAAGTCTTCAAAAATTGAGTGTCTCAGCATATTAATTTGAGTCTGTTAGTCATTGCAAGGCTGATCATTGTTGATGTCAATTCTGCTAGTCAGTGCAACTAATCATAAGAACAAATGAGAGGAGTGACATGGTGACACTCCTGTGATGGTGTCACTACTGAAAGGTGTGATGAAATTCACAAATTCTGGTGAGTGGGGTTTGGTCCCTGTAGTGAGAGAAGGAAAAAGTAGGTGGTTTGGAGATGTGCTGCCTTCTTAGACTACAATTGGGCATTTCTGACTTAGCAAACAGTCCCCACTTTGAGACTCACTCTTGCTGCCATTACCCTTCCAGCTTTGCAGAGCTTCATGGCCCGAGGAGTCCAGGTGTTCTTGGTGGACTGTGCTATGGAGGTGGCATAACTGCCGCCTAGCAGTTGATAACAGGGAGTCATCCATCCTTGGATGGTAATCCACAGGTGCCAAAGTCAGCTAGTCTATGTTATAGGCCAGTGATGGCGAACCTTTTGAGCTCAGCGTGTCAGCATTTTGAAAAACCCTAACTTAACTCTGGTGCCGTGTCACATATAGAAATTTTTTGATATTTGCAACCATAGTAAAACAGAGACTTATATTTTTGATATTTACTTTATATATTTAAATGCCATTTAACAAAGAGAAATCAACCAAAAAAATGAGTTCGCGTGTCACCTCTGACACGCGTCTCATAGGTTCGCCATCACTGTTATAGGCCCCTCACTCGGGAATGCAGTCTATGTGGGGCTTCTAGAGGACAATTCTGTGTAATAAACACATGGCACGTCTGCAGTTGTGATACAAACAGAATAATAAACCCAGAGAGTATAATTATTATCCATGGGAGGATAATATTAGGTTAAATTATGTGAAATTGCCATTTTGTAAGCAAAATGCGCTAATATCAGTGATTTCCCATGGTTCAACCCAATATGTAAGCATTAAAAGGAAGAAGACTCCACAGTTACTTTGAGTTGTGTGCCTGATGCTACATAAAAATGAAACAAGCAAGAAAACAGGATAAAAACTTGTTGCTATAAATTGGTTTGGGATTTGGTTTATGAAGTCCCATCTAGGCATATTCTTTTATAATCTGGAAGATCATTGCTTGCCCCCAGGTAAGGTGTAAGGACTCCTGGTTTTATAAATATATTTTAGGGCATTTTTCTGAAGGAATAGATGCTCATAAAGCATTTGGTTTTTTTAAAGAATATCTCTAAAGTGGTTTTCTTTAATTTTTTTTCCTTTTATTTTTTTACTTTTTTAAAGTTTTGTTTTTTTTAACTGCCATCCCTCCCACATCCTCCCCTTTGGCAACCACCAGCTCATTCTCTGTATTTGTGGTCTGTTTCTGTTTTCTTTATTCATTTATTTTGTTTCATTTGGAATCCATATGTAAGTGATACCATGTAAAGTATTTGTCTTTCTGTGACTTATTTCACTTAGCATAATACCCTCTAGGTCAGTGATTGGCGAACCTTTTGAGCTCGGTGTGTCAGCATTTTGAAAAACCCTAACTTAACTCTGGTGCCGTGTCACACACAGAAATTTTTTGATATTTGCAACCATAGTAAAACAAAGACTTATATTTTTGATATTTATTTTATATATTTAAATGCCATTTAACAAAGAAAAATCAACCAAAAAAATGAGTTCGCGTGTCACCTCTGACACGCGTGTCATAGGTTCGCCATCACTGCTCTAGGTCCATGTTGTCACACGTGGCACAATATCATTCTTTTTCATTGCTGAATAATTTTCCATTGTGTGGGTGTGTGTGTGGATGTGTGTGTACCAAATCTTATTTTTCCATTCACCTATTGATGGACATCTAGATTGCTTCCGTATCTTGGCTGTTACTAGTAATGCTGCAGTGAATATAGGGGTGCATATATATTTTCAAATTAGTGCTTTTATTTCTTTTTGATAAATACCCAGAAGTGGAATTTCAGGACCATATGGCAGCTCTTATTTTTAATATTTTCAGGAATCTCCATACTGTTTTCTGTAGTGGCTGCACTAATTTACAATCCCACCAACAGTGCACGAAAGGGTTCCCTTTTCTCCACATCCTCTCCAGCACTTGTCATTTGTTGATTTAGTGATGATAGCCACTCTGACAGGTGTGAGGTGATAGCTCGTTGTGCTTCTAATTTGCATTTCCCTAATGATTAGTGATATTGAGCATCTTCTCATATGTCTGTTGGCCATCTGTATGCCCTCTTGGTAGAAATGTCTATTCTGGTTGGATTGTTGGTTTGTTTTTGTTTTTGGTGTCAGGTTGTATGAGTTCCTTATGTGTTTTGGATATTGACCCCTTATTGGATAACATTTACAAATATCTTCTCACATCCAGGTTGGCTCTTCAATGTGAATATGTAATATTTTTAGCTCAGTGATAGATAATTGGTTAGAAAACTAAAGTGAAATCACTTTGAACTGTTTGCTTTCCCATTTATCTACTGGTAAGTAATTCATACTCTGTTGTCTGTGTCTTAACTGCTTTTCTTTGGCTTCTCCACAACAAATCAGACACAATTGTGAGGGAGATTTGTTTCTGCTCTGGCATGAAGCATAATTGCATTAAATATTTATGGTGTGGACTTTGCCTGTGATTATAATTTAAAAACTCAGAGAACTATTGGAATTCAATAAGAGCAGGGCTTAAAGATGGGTTTGGCTTTTGTTATTGTGGTTATTGTTTATTTTGCGATTTGTTTGGTTTTTGTAAACTGGAAGAAAGTTTCCTTAGAAATTTAATCAAGATGGGACATAAAAAGGTTACTCTTACCTTAATTCGTCAAGTTTCTTAGGATAAAAGCAGGTTTGTTGTGGTATAAGAAACAGTTGGGCCGAGGCCGGTTTGGCTCAGTGGATGGAGCGTCGGCCTGCGGACTAAAGGGTCCTAGGTTCGATTCCGGTCAAGGGCATGTACCTGGGTTGCGGGCACATCCCCAGTGGGAGGTGTGCAGGAGGCAGCTGATCGATGTTTCTCTCTCATCGATGTTTCTAGCTCTCTATCTCTCTCCCTTCCTCTCTGTATAAAATCAATAAAATATATTTTAAAAAAAAAGAAAAAAACAGTTGGTTTCCATTTCTGCCTTGGCTTGAGTTAATATTATGTGCAGGATGAGTTGAAGATCTAAGTGTACTGATATCTTACCTACACTCTGATGCCTTTTTGCTACACAGAAGGAATTATGGCATGCAGTGTGCCAATTGGTATTTTTGTGGCTTGCACATATGTCTCTAATGCCAGGCAGTAAATTTGATACAATATTTTGGGATCAAAATAAGCTGTTACCAGTCTGCATTTTTAAAGTGTTGTGTGTAAAATAGTGTTTCTGTAAAGGCATATACTGGCTGTCATATAGACATAGTTTAATAATATGGATCTCAAATTTTTGAATCTTTATTGCAATTATGTTGTCACTTATATGCTGATTTTTTTAAGATTATTTAATTAAAGAATCCAGTGACACTTTTTAATGTTTTCAAATATTCAGTTACAATGAGACCAGGGTTTTGTCATCAAAATTGTACAAGGGCATTTATTGACACGATATAGCTACATAAGATGTTCTAGCATTGCCCCACACCACCCAAAAGGCAAGCAGCAAATGAGAATTCCTCTTCTGTATCCTAATATAAAGTGTTTTAAAAAATACTGACTGTAAATAAAATGTATTTATAATACTCTGGGATTATTTAAATGTTTTTATATTTAGATAAACCATATTCCTAAGTTTTGAAGTATTAATTTTGTTATTTGTCCCATAAATGAACGAAATGAAATTGACAATCTTGCCAGTGTTGCTCTGATTGTCAAAACACTGCAGTCTTCTAAGAGAACTGAAACCGTGTTCTCATCTTCATTATGGCCACTGTGTAGAGAATATGAATGTAATGTGTATACCTTTAGAATTAGGGTCAGTATTTCAGGTCAAATGAATTCTCTACAATAAATGGAGAATTTGCAATTACATCATAGAAGAATATCAGTGTCTATAGTTTTTTGCTGCTCATCAATCAAAATTCTGAAAGCCATACTGCATGAAGCAATTGCATGAGATGCGGAGGGGACTCAAGCTGACCACCTGACCTCAAGAAATGCCCAACCTCACCAGGCAGAAATCACAGCGTAGGGAACAAGTGGCAGTTTCAGTAGACTAGATTGCCACGTGTACGTGATTGTCAATTGAAAGGTTGCTAATGGGAGTATTCAGAAAAGACCATTAATGGGCTGGAGGAAACAAGGACTTCCCTAGAACCGTGGTCGGCAAACTGCGGCTCACGAGCCACATGCGACTCTTTGGCCCCTTGAGTGTGGCTCTTCCTAAGCCTTAGGAGTACCCTAATTAAGTTAATAACAATGTACCTACCTATATAGTTTAAGTTTAAAAAATTTGGCTCTCAAAAGAAATTTCAATCGTTGTACTGTTGATATTTGGCTCTGTTGACTAATGAGTTTGCCGACCACTGCCCTAGAAGAAAACCTTTGGCCAATTCTTGCCC